GCCCCGCCCCTCTCCCGAGCGCCGCGCCGTGGCCGCCGCTCCGCAGGTGACCCGAGCGGTGCTGGTTCCGTGGACCCGAGCCCGCCCTGAGCACCGCAGCAGCGGCAGGAATTTAGGGATCGGCTCCACACTGGAAGCATTCCCTCGCGCGGGACCCAGAGCGCCCGAGCCTGGCGCGGGCGTGACGACTCCGGCTTCGCGTGTAATTTGCCTGCCTGGGAGAGGACAGAACCCGGCACACATGTCACTAATGCAAACACATTTCTTCTCTTAAAAATGCTAATGCGACTAAGACTTCTTTGACCCCCTCTCACCCCACCCCTCAGCCGTACAAAATCCCCCTCCCCTCCGCTTCCCTCCCCTCTTCGGAAAGGGAAGGTGCCACTCAGAACAGCGCCGCCGCTTGTGCGTTCTGTTTACAGAGGTAGCTTTACGTGATCTCTTATTTTACAGATGAGAAAACCAAAGCCCAGAGAGGTTCGGTAACTTAGCGAGGGTTGCGAAGTTAATTAGGGGGAAAGCTTCTGTTTGAACAGGGGACCTACCGTTGCAGAATCATTGCTCTTCTGTGTTCAAAGCCCGAGCCAGCAGACATCGCCTGAGACCATGAGAGAATTTCTTCCCCAAGCCTTAGGCCACATACACTTGCCACATTATTATCTTACTCATTGCTAGACGTTTTTTGGTCTTTTGCTCTTTTATTATCAAAATTGGAGCTTTGCAATCAAAGACAGCCCTGTTATCAGGTCATCACCAGTCAGAGAGGGAAGTCAGGCATCAGAGACAGCGGCTCCATCTCTGATGAACTCTAAAGACTAAGTGCTGAAATCCCGTACGGGACACGAGGAGATCCAAACAAACTTGACACTAATGCCAGGAGACGTTCCTCGTTTACTTAACAAAATTCAAGGCCTACTCTGTGTCGGGCATGGTGACAGGTGCTGGGGTAGACAGAAGTAAACGCTACAGTAAAAATTCCTTCCAGTGGAGAGACCAGCAACTAACACGGTAAGCACGTTACAGAGGGTAGCAGAAGGTGGAGTTAAAAAGGGAAATAAAAGACCCAGCTATTTCCCTTCTAGGCATCTTCTCAAAAGAATTGTAAAATCATACCACAGTGATGTATGCATACCCATGTTTACAGTGGCACAATTCATAACAGCTAAATCCTGGGCACAGCCTGTATGGCCATCAACTGTGGCATTCACACGCGATGGAGTACTACTCTGCCATAAAGAAGGATGAACTTGAGGCATTTGAGGAAAATGGATGCATCTTGGGACTATCGTGTTGAGTGAAGTGAACCAGATACACAAGCTTGAACATCTCATGGTTTTCCTTATATGGGAAAGTTAATATGAAGTGGAGTGGAAAGTTGTTGTATTTTAAGTGTGTTTCTGCTGTCTGTTTCTAGTTTCACTCCAATATGGTGTGAGAGAGCACTTTGCAAGATTTCCTTTTCTTTGGGTATGTTAAGTTCTTTATTGGTGCTATGAGCATGGCCTGTTTTGAATTTTTAAAAATGCCAGGATGCGGACAACCCATTCAGGACTCCCGCTGTCTCTTGGGAGCTATTCCTGTTCCCCAATAAATGTTCCCACTCTTCCAAAAAATGCCAGAATAGGAAAATTTATGAACGTAGAGAGTAGCTCAGTGGTTGCCTGTGGGGAGGGGCAGTTGGGAGAGAACTAGTGGGTGGAGTGTTTTGTTTCAGAATAATAAAAATGATCTAAATTTGATTGTGGTCATGTTGTACAACTTTGTCAGTGGGCTAAAATCTACTAAATCTTACACTTTAAGCTTGAAAATTGTGTGGTATGCAAATCCTAGTTCAATAAAACTGTTATTTTAATTTTTTTAAGTGAAGACATTATGGCTTAAGGAACTAGAGTCAGCTGCAATGTGTGAATGAATTCAAAAAGCCCACGCTTCCTCCAGACCCCACCAACATGAGTGCTGAGGCAGGTGTGCCCTGCACACCCACAGCATGTGCGACAACCTTGACAGGGGATTCCTTGCAGACCTGGGAGGTGCTTGTGGAGTGCTCAGCGTCAGAACTGCAGTCTTACGGGCAGGGCTGTGTGCTGCGTTTAACGTAGATGAAAATGCATTGGAAATAGTTCATGAGAATGCGGGAGAAATCCAGTTAGCAAAGGCTGACATGGTTGGCCATGACGTGTGCTTGGTACATGTAATTAACATGAATAAGAAATTGCTTACTTAAAAACATGAAAACATTAAAATAAACATGTCAAAAATTTTTTTAGGGCCAGGGGTATAGCTCAGCGGCACAAGCACCTGCCTGGAAAGCTCAAAGTCCTGAGTTTGATTCCAAGTCAAAAAAAATAAAAATTAAAATATATATATGTATGTATGTATAATATATATATTTTAAAGTGAAGACATACAGATACATATATTTTCTTTAACGAAAGAAAAATGTGGATAACAGAGGTGGGTACTGGGGAAGCTGCGACTTTAATGACAGCATCAGTTCCCTCTGAGAAGGTAACATTTGAACAAAGACTAGGAAGAGGTAAGGGGCAGGTCACTCTGAAGAACAAGTCTATGTTACTGACTCCACTGGTATCGGACTATGTATGTATGTAAGCCCTGGCCTTTTTATCTTCTTTTTTATCTTTCCCTGGACTGAAGTTTTCTCATCTTGGCAAAGAAAAATCATAAACACCTTTCTGTGACTCAGTCTAATATCCTATCTCCCATTCTGGATCTGCAGTATTGTCAGGGGTTCAGCTGTGCCCCGCTGAAGCTCACCTGTTGAAGTCCTAAGCCCCGGTAGCACCTTGGATCTAGGGTCTGAACCGAGGTCATCAGGTTAGAATGAAGCCATTAGGATGGACCCTACCCATTGTGGCTGGAGTCAGACATGCACACAGGAAGAACACGTCAGCAGGTCCAGGTGATGTATCTTAAGCCACAGAAAATCAGGGAGGTCCCACAAAACCAAGAGACTCGAAACAGATTTGCTCTCACAGGGCTCAGAAGGAACCATCCCTGCCAGCCCCTGAATCATAGATGTCTTCCCTCCAGAACTGGGAGACTAGCTTGCCATTGTTTAAGACACCCAGTGTGTGGTGCTGCATTACAGCAGCCCCGGCAAACGCATACAAGTGTTTCTGTGCAGTAAGATGAGACAGTTAGGAAGGCATTTGTACATCTCCAGTGACCTGGTGTCTTTCTGGCAGCAGCAAGAAACCGGAATGACCTGATGGTCCATTTATTTAGTTTCTTATGTAAGACCAGAGTGGGTCACACAAACAGTTTTGTGCACACACACACATTCACAGAAGAGCCCGGACATGCTTCGGTACTTGTAGGTAGTAACACCACGTGACTTAGACCTTGTGTTTGTTCTTCTCACTTATGTAACATCCGGAACACCACTGGGCATGCCCCGGTGTTTAACCAATACACTGATGACCGTGCCCTGAGGGAACATTCTGGCTCTCCCAGGCCTCCTTATTAATCTTATTAAGCCAAGCTTCAGTTTTAAAATTTTGCAGTGCTCATGTACTTTGAGTGTAATTTTTCCTTTAGGAGGCTAGTAAGAATAATAGCTAATGTGAATTGGAGGCTTGTGCGTGACCTTCTATTCCAAATGCTTCATGTGAGTTATCATGTGCATAACTCTATAGGATCAATTCTCTTATTATCACCTCCATTCTACAGATGAGCAAACTGAGGCACAGAAGAGGTTAATAGTATGTGCCTGGTCAAAACCACTATTAAATAGCTAACTTACGCCTTGAGTCAGTTTCTTTGACTACAAAGACTCTGCCAGGGTGGGTGAACAGAAATAAACAAAGCAAGCACAGAGAATGCAGAAGGCATGTGTCTATCCCTTTGCATTTGTCTTTGAAATGTTCAAAGTGCCGTTTTCTTACTTTTTGTTATTTACCCCAGCCCTCTAGCTGTCAAGACTGCTTTTCTAGCTGGATCTTTGCTGTGCCTTCTCTTGCTTCAAACTGGGACCTGTGAAGACTTTGATAAGTGAAACAACCGATATACTTTTGTTTTTAGCCTATGTGTTCTTCAGCATCCTCTAAGGAAGTGGAATCAGGCTTCTTAGGGCTCAGCCTACTTTGACATACATCTGTGTCTCATGCATTGACAGCTTCCCTTACTCAGTCGTAGGGAAGAAGCAGCACCCCCTCATCTGTTAGCACTGTACGCAGCACGCAGCGCCAACTCCATCCCTCTTTACCCAGATGCTAACAGATCCTCCTGCCTGAGAATGAACATCTGAAAACAGCTTCAGCTGCTCCCTGCACCTCTCTTTCTATTCTTGTAGCTTCCCCACAGTGCTGGTCAGGGAAAAAGCCCATGAACTTGCAATGATAAGAAGATGTGAAGCTGCTCTTGTTGGATGCTGGATTCCCCCACCTTTCTCAGGAAGTGGGCGGCCATTTCAGCTGTTAAATGACTTCCTGCCCTGGATGGCGTGGTCAGGCTTGTTTTAGACTTCTGGAACTCAGACAAGGTGTCTGGCTTGTTCGCTTTGGAAAGCTCAGGTGGGTTTTACTATCTTTCCCTCTGCTGACCACAACTGCTTCAATATTTTATGTTCTGGAAGAGAACAGCACTTCAGGGCAAATTAGCATAAGAGGGATTTATGAAACC